ATTGGAACAATTCGACTAACCCCATATGTCGAATTAAAATCTGTGTTACATGTTCCAAATTTATCTTGCAATCTTCTTTCTATTAGCAAATTAACAAAAGATTTGCAGTGTAGTGTCAATTTTACTGAGTCGTCGTATATTTTTCAGGACCTGACTTCGGGGAAGAGGATTGGCAATGCTAAAGAACGTGAGGGACTATACTATTTTATGGATGACACCTACTGGAATAAACAAGCTCATACTGTAAACTGCATGTCTACCCCTAGAGAACAAGAAATTCTTTTATGGCATCGCCGATTAGGTCACCCTAGCTTTTCATATCTTAAGTTCCTATTCCCATCATTGTTTTATACTAAAGTCTCGCTTCATTGTGATATTTGTCAACTTGCTAAACATACTCGTTCGTCTTTTCAATCTCTTGAGTATAAATCTTCGTCACCTTTTACTCTAATACATAGTAACTTATGGGGGCCTTCTAGGGTTACTCGACATCATGTGTGAGTTCGTCGAGCAATGCACACATGGTTCGAGAACTCAACTCTTGTCATTGGTTCGTAACGACTATGAATGCTTTGACTTTGTCCCTCTGTTTGTGGAGAGTTTTGCTACTCCTCATATCGCTCGATTACAGATTGGACTACTCCCTGACTTGCTGGTTCCTTATCAGAATGTTTATGAGGTATAATGCTTCACTTTTTGTATCTTTAACACTAAACACCAGTCCCACCGGGCGTGCCAAATTGTTTCGCGCAGGTAGTCGCTAACAATTAAAAAAAGAAATTCAGACGATTGTGTAAGGGACAAACCTCTTGAGATAAAGTCCCAAAAATAGGTGCTTTATTGATGAGTGTTACAATTGGAAATAAACAGAATGCCTCTAAGGGGCGCAAGCACACGAGTACTGAAAAGGGATAATTAAGTTAATCTAAGAAATTGAAATTACATATTCTCTATTTGAGAGTGTTTGATTCGGGGGCTTTTCCTCTATGTCTATTTTTCCTTTTATATTCTCATGATGATTTNAAATTACATATTCTCTATTTGAGAGTGTTTGATTCGGGGGCTTTTCCTCTATGTCTATTTTTCCTTTTATATTCTCATGATGATTTTTTCGTGACAAACCGCTTGAAAATTGCTTAATTGCTTTCTAACTACCAACTTTCTTCATGGTGGCTAACTTGTCGTGGAACTGTCATCTCTAACTGCTGTCATTACTCTTTGTCGTTCAACTGCCTTCAAATGGGCTCCTTAAATCGTGGAATGTGATAATCGGCTCGATAACTGTTTCAGTAACTGCTATTCTGGATAACCATAATATCTCATGTATTAAAATTCTGAGCGACTCGAAGGTTCGGGCGAGAACGAGGTTGTCGCTCTGGGCGACCGTAAGGCACTCAACTCGCTCAAATTCTGGGCGTCTTGCAGGTTTGGGCGATGATGTTACTGTGTTCGTGGGCTTCCTCTACATTCACCAATAACCTTATTTGGGCATTTATCCTGGACTCTCAAATTGAGCCTCACTCTTTGAGTTATTTAATTTGGGCTGTACTTTTAGTGTGTCAACAAGAGGTCTCGATGATACTCTATTGAAATCACGTCAACCTATATGAGAAAAATGCATCTTTAGTCGTTTTCAAACTTTAACCTAAATGATTGCAGAAAGAGAGTAAAGAAATAGAGTAAGCATCTATTTGTCTCCCTTTAAAATAGAACTCTTTGGGCATGTTCTCTTTACAATTTTCAAACCGTTTTCTATTTTCAATTTTCCAAAATAGTGAAAACGCGTTCTCTTTCATATTTTCGAAAATACGTTTTTTAAAATAAGATATAAATTTACAAAAAAAACTCAAAACGACAAATTATAATCAAGCCAAAATTTTCAAAACGCGTTTTTAGTGTTTTCAAAACAATATTTCAAAATACCAAAAAGAACCCATTTTTAACAATCTCAAAATGGACACTCAAAACACAAAACAAAAATATAAAACGAACAGCCCCTTTATTTCTCATACTGATTTTCAACCACATATTCACACAATAAGAGTTTGAGTTGTATTTTTTTGCCCAAAATGTATTTTAGAATACTCTCTCCGTTTCATTTTTAAATGATGACTCTTCTTATTTTCTCGTCTCAATTATATAGCCATGTTTCTTTATTGAAAATATTTTATTTTGTTTATTTACTAATATACATTTATTTTATTTGCCAAGTTATAATCAATTTTTCCCACTTAATCTTGAAATTGTACAAAAATTATTTCTTTCAACAATAATGTACTACTAGTTGTTCATAATTAAATAAGGGTAAACTATGAAAACTTTTGACAAAAAATGCTTTTTCAATAACATTAAATAGGATTTTTTAATTCGTATGAAAAACAAAATCAATCAATATAAATGGGATGGAGGGAGTAGTATTTTGATACATAATGTGTAGTTAAAAAAGAGGAAATTTTTTGAATTTACGTGATATTATTTTATTGAAGAATGTATAATTTAAAATAAGAGAGAGAAAAAGTATATTTTTAAACAATGAGGACTAAACAAGGGCTAAAATATTTTGCACATAAATTCAAAACATTTTCATAATTTTCAACCACACATTCTTCAAAAAAATCACTATTTAAAACATCATTTTATCTTAATAATGACAATCAAACTGGAGCTAAATTGGGATGCAAGACTTGACAATACTAGAAGTTTGTCGGTAGTACTGTATTTTGCTGTTTCGTATCATTTATCAAGTAAATTAACAGTAAGGACCCAATTGCTAGCAGCAAATCATTGAATGGAGAAGACAAAATTGCTGAAAATTTTGTACTAGAAGTCATTTTTTTAGTGGGTAATGCAGTTCAAATTCATATGCACTCCTTGGGATAATAACAAAATACCATTCTATCTAATTCCTTTCATGATTGAAATTTACAACTTAGCAAATCTCACCTGAATAAAGCATGCTCTATTTAGCATTGTATAATAGAAATGCAGAATAGGATACAATGGGAAAGGTCCAGCCAGAAAGAGTTTACACCAAGATAAGTGAGTTTATATCAATGTCGATAAGCATACGAAACATTTGAACAAAATTAAGCACTATAAATTCTTATATCAATGTCGATATGCATACGAAACATTGGAACAAAATTAAGCACTATAAATTCTACATGGACTTCGACCAACCCGAATTTGAAGCAGACAGGCAATTCGGTCTTCACTTAGATGATGTAGCACCATCTAGGCGATCTGTAGTTTCATGTCGTAAACCGTTTTCTCTAGCATAATTGGCCTTTGCACCCTGAGAACAAATGAAAACTTCTTGTTTACAATGTAGAACGAATCAATGAATAAATATTAACACGTACACACATGTATAATGCATAGGTTCTTAGTTCACATTCCCATTGCCGTATTGTAGTTCATACGCAAACTTCAGATCATTAGCTTAAATTCATCATTAGAGGATTGTCAGTTCTCGCACTTCAAATCATTTTTCCGTTTCAATCATTTTAAGGACTTGCATCGATAGACATGACACAGTGCAAAGTCCTTCGAAAGGAAATAAACCAAAACGAAACAGCAGATTTTGGCCATTTGGCTAAGCTCAAGTTTAAGTAACTCTGTTTTTTCTTCTTTTATACGTGATTTGGTAAGTTACATTTTCTTATTAAGCCCATGTTGGTACACATTAAAATATTCATTCTCATTCTTCTATTCATTTTCAACCACAAATTCTTCAATAAAATAATATTTTCCATCACGTCAATAACTCAGAAGAATTCTAGAAGAGAAAATTACTGTGTTGGAAAAAATATGTCAAGATAGAAGACTGAAACTTGTTACGAATGTTAGAAGGAAAAAATCAGAGATGAAGACTTCAAATATAAAATGAACTTATTGGATAAATAAAAGAAACGAGAAGAAATTTGAGACTTGAAACATGTATAAATCATGTTGTTTTTAAAGAGATATTTCCCTGTCTTGGTTGAGATTGTCCTCGGGATCCACTGGCAAATAACTTCGAGCATATGACGAGCCTTTGTGAGTTTGCTCAATAAAGTGTGAACTCAACAAATGAACTAGGTCACTGAGATTTCTGAATTTAGGGTTTCAAGGAGGAAGAGGTGTTATACCTTGAATATCTCTAAAATCCTCCAAGAAACCCTTTACATAAATGTTAGACAAGACTTGATTTTTAAAAAAAAATGGAAATGTGGTGATGTTTCACACAAAAATTCAAACAGAATTACATGCCAGGCATGAACCAAATTTTGCAATTGCAAAAACAAGCAGAAACTTTCTGCACACTTTCGCACCTGCAAGAATTATCAAATTGAATGCAACAAGCATTCTGCTTCATTGCTCGCACATGATTAGTCCACTCCAATACTTTGTGACTGTATAAATTGTCAAACTACTCCTCTTCTTATGTTAATCTTTGAACGACTTTTAACACTTTGTTGTTATTTTATAGAAATTTAAAATATATGATATGTTTTTTTTTTCTTTTCCCGTACTTCGCAACAGATGGAGCACAACTTTCTAAGCTAACTGCCAACTATACAAGTTTCAATTTCATCTTCATAGTCATACAAACAAGGTGGAACATAAAATCGAATTTATCTCTGAAAAGCACAATAGGTATTAACATTTGAATCGTCCATTTGTATGATTTTATGATTTGAACTGAAGGAGACTAAAAACTCAGTTACTTACTTGGAAAATTGTTCCAAGTTTCCGCATTCCTCGGGCTCGCAGCTTGAGAACATCCTTGGAAACACTGGGATCTTTGAGAACCTGAAAAAACGAAGGAGATCACTAAAGGTTTCTTAAATTAATTGATATCTTGTGTATTTTCCGCATTCATACGATAAAACTTGTAGACTGAAGCTAACTCCCAAGAATCATATGAGCTAAACGGCATTTTTATATATAAGTTTGAATCTAGCTCCAAATTAAGCAGCCAAGATGTGCATAATAACCCTGTGGAAGATAGCATGCTAATATGGGGAAATTGCAGCATTGGTCCTCAATCTACGTCATATGTAAGAAGTTGGTTCCTCACCTTTTTTTTTCTTTTCCCTTCTTTTTAATATTAATTTCCTTTGACTTGTATTTTATTTAAAAATGAGCATATAATTGTCTCTTCACTAAAGGATTGACTTTTTAATGGATTCTAGAATGAAAAGTTACGAAGATTAAAAGCCCAGTTAGAGAACAACTTGCTACATAGACCATAGGTTGGAGACAAATGCTGCAATTTTCCAACTTATATTCATAAGATGCTGCACAAACCAGCATCCTTGACTTGTACATGTACAGTCACAAAAGCTAACAAAATTCAGAACTTTGATGAGCTCGTAGAACTTACCGCTTGGCAAACATGAGATAAAGTTGACTCAATATCTACCACGTTAATCTGCCAAAGGGAATTAACCATTGCATCTGCCTTTTCTTCCAATATTTTGATGGTATGCTCATCCTTAATCTCTCCTTCACCCGACTTCTCCAACTCCTCCTGTATTTGAATCAAGGACACGGCAGCTAGAAATGGAAAGAGGCAAAATCCTTGGTCGACATTACAGCATTTGATAAAAGAACGAAACTTAAATAGCAAACGTGCGTGCATATATTTTCACCTGACGCTGCTGAAACTTGAGATTTTATCCAATGTCCTTTGTCCCGCACCCACTCTGCAAGAAACGGAACCTTCATGTAACGCTTGCCCTTCCCGATTTCTCTTGCAGCTTGCCTTGCGTAAATGTAACCAACAGTATGCAGCATTGCCTCACCAAAAGCTGGAAAATGATACTAATGAGTCTAATCTTTCCTTTTAACCTCCTGTTGAAGATCACAGAATATTTGGTTCCTACTCCTCTCTCCCCACTTTCACCTCCCATCCCTAACGTTTGCTTATAAGTCTTGACAACTTTCGAGCATGCGTGGCTCAGCTTAAAAAGGAGTAGTAACTTTTTGTTTCCAAACATGATTGCATATATTACATTTTTCTTATTTCTAAGTAAAAAAAGTAAGCTCATTTTGAAAGGCAAATCTTGCATGTGCAGGAGAAATTCATTTTTCCATTAGTTGGAAAGGGGGGCGGGAAACAAGCTATTCTAACTAAAAGATAATTCTTACATGATGCTTTATTCATTTCTCCTGCATGGTAAAATCAAGATTGAAACTAGAAACACAATTGAACATGCAAGGCAACGAAGCTGACCGGCTTGAGAAAGACGACGGGCTTCAGATTTTGCCCATTCCACAAACTCAGTAGTTTGACCTTCAACAAATGGTAGTAGACGATTTTTCAGAAGTACTATGAGCTTCTCTTCCCTTTCCTTTTGCAATGCCTTCAGAAGAAAGAGAATATAATTCAGATAAGTATATAAAACAAGAGGCGTTTATGACTACAAGAAGACATAAGTGAACCTTTATCTTCTCCTGAATTTTCTGTTTTTGAACTTCAGGAGCTAATTTTTGATCAACTTCAACAGATGCCATGGTAGCCAATGCAAGCTGCCCAACATAATCTTCAAAATATTCACTCCCGAACATCATTCCAAACACAGTTGCAGGGTCAACCATGAAGTCTCTGGGAAAATATGTATACAGATTAAGATCAACATTTTTTTCCTCATCACTTCTATTTGGTAAGGTAGCAAAGGAAGCATAACAGTCAGGTTTGGTGCGCAGCACTAGAGACAACTCAACACTACACTACTATGGAATCCTCCCTACCATACGGGCAATGCTCTGTAGAACTATGATCATCACTGTCCCTAAGGGCAATTATCAGTTCGGCAAGTGCAATGGTTTGACAGGTGCTATTTCACCACCTGTCACTAAATGGGCTTAGTTTCTTCTTGACATGTTTACAAGTGATTGCCAGATTTTATACTGTAATCTAACACCAGTTTTGGGAGCTTAGAGTGCACCTTGTGGCTATAAATTCAATTTAGGTTTACGCTCCTATTTGTTCATATTCGTAGGAACATCAAGATTTGTACAAGAAAGTTTACTAATTCTAAATATCCTAACATTTTCATAAGTTAGTAATTCTTAATTACATCCAGATTTGCACAAGGAATTTTATATCCAGATATACTTTTAAGTGTATCAAATTGTGAGCAAAAATATTGCAAAAAGAATTTCACAAAAGAATTGGTTGTAACCTCATAGTTTAAATAGAAACAAATAATAGTTAGGTAGCTTGAGAACTGAATATATTTTATAACAAATTGGATGGAAAGACGCAAATGCTCCACATGAAAGGAAAATGATTGCATTAAGGGCGTTGTACTATTTTCTGCATTCTGGAGGAATTATTTGTAAGCCCCTGTTTGAGCCACATTAAAATTTTCATTCTCGTTCTTCTTCTCATTATCAACCACACATTTTTCAATAAAATAATATTTTCCATCATATCAGTAACTTTTTCTTCTTTTTCAACTACACATTCTCCATCAATCTACTATTCCAAAATACATTCTTTCAAAATAATGTGGCTCAAACACACCCTAAATGTAAGTTAGGATGTGTAATCATGAGAAAGGCATTCCAGATGTACTAATTTATCTCTCTCAAAATTACCCATGTCTTCATGGTATTTTACTCTTCTAAAACATGAGTTTCCCAGTTTCTCGTACTCGAGCAGAGTTTTTTTGCACCTGCCAACAAAAAAGTTGAGGTGTTTGCATCCCCAAAACAATTATTTCCCTGTTCTCATGCATTGGCCTGTAAGGTTTGTGTACCTTTCAACAAAAAGTCACATCATGCAACATTCCTATCCCATACTTTACTATGAATAATCTTGAAATTGTTGAGCCCACCACCTTCACATTAGTTGGGAATTGTTAAATGTTTTTAAGAGATAATACTTACTGTGGCACTCCCTCTTTGCCGTATTTGTCATATGCTTCACGCTTCTCAGGGTCACTCAATACCTGATAAGCTTCTCCAAGCACCTGCATGCAAAAAGCATGACCATAAAAAGATTCTTGCAGGAAAAAAGAACGAGATTAAAATAATTCCTCACATTGCATCCTCAAGAAATTTAAGCTAACACATCTGGTGTAGTTGATGATCTTGGGAATAATTGGGAGGTCAGTAGTAATGGTCTCAATTGATAGTGAGCAAACTACACTGATCATGCAACAAAGGTAACAAATTTAAAGCGTGTTTGAGTATGTGTTTTCTATTAATCACTCCTGGTCAAACCTACTTTTTATCCGCACATTTCGTGGAACCCACAAGTATTATTCACTTATCCACCAATTATTTCTGTCTATTTATAGTTAAAACGATTATAATCACCTATCAAACATGCATTTAATCTCTCTAGTTTATGTAATTCAATATTTAACATAAGCTATTAACGGTCTTGTAGGCCATCTTTTCCTCTGCAATTAAGCAATAGATTTCCTTCAAAATTCAATTGAACATTTAAGATGCAAACCATAGAGATTTGAGAGTTAATAGTAGACAAATATAATAATTAAAAAAATGGTACTATCAAGGGAAGCACTACTACAATATTAGTAAAAGGACAAGATGAATTCTGAAATGTAAACCAAGATATACACAACTATTGTCTTCACAAACAAACATGAACAGACAGGTCAGTGCCTTTTCATGTTCAACACATAGATGACGTAATTCGCAAAAAATAAAAATAAAAAAAGATGATTAGATGTATAATGCTAAAAGAGTTTGTTACCTGGAAATTGTGAGCAGCTTGTGAATCTCCAGGATTTTTATCAGGGTGGACGACCCTGGCCTACACCAGAAGTACAAAAGAATTAATTCAAGTTTCAAGCATTTCAATGTGATCTCGGATGATATCTCTCCTGTTCTCTAAGTTTCATGGAGTGATTTCAAAAACATTCAAAAATAAACAAATTGAACTGAATAGAATTTTTTAATCTCATAAGATGGTTTTTCCAAGAATTGACTTACAATAAATTTTAACGTCTATTAAACCCTCCATACTCTAGATATGAAAAACAATTCCTTACTTCTTTAAGCACAGGGAGAAAGAGAATATCCTTTTAGTTTAGACACTGAATAAAAAAATACACTAGCTGAGGTCAGATGGTAACTATGGAACTATGGGTTTTAAATTCCAAATTTGAAGACAAACTTGTAGCTGAATTTTGAACAATCATCAAGAAATTAAATGTACACAGCAATATAAGGTTCCCTATTTTCTATCTTAGTACTTCACAATAAAAGTATTTTGACTGCAGAGCACAGACACGTGCATACAGGCTTAACAATAAAATGGAATAAGAATCAGTGCAGAGTGAAAGTAGTCGGTTTTTCTTGATTGCGCCCGTAAAAGCATTTATTCACCTGACTTCATTCTTATTGATGAGCTTGTATTGAGAATCTTAAACTAAAAGTCTAAAACACAGACTAACAATATGTTTGGTACTGAGTACTGGATGGAACTGGATGGTATTATGAACAAGATTCTAGCTCTTTTTTCTTATTTAATAGGAGTAAATTTAATCAATACTCATTGAATTTTAACACTGTTACTACTTACTTGTTCATCTTTCAAGTAAATTAGTCGTCCATCACCCGTTAAGTAACCATTTCCAAATTGTCGATGGAAAATCACACGTGGCAAATGACAATCTTACGTGGCGTGCTAACAGCGTTAATCATGTCAACGTCACCAAACATGATTTTCCATTCCTCAATTTCAACACGCCTTTAAATTAACCCCGAATCAAAACCCCCAATTCAAAGTCCTAATTCAAAACCCCCAAACCACAAATTCCAGTAAGCAAGATGTGGGTTCGAAACCCAAATCGAAGTCAATTGAACTACAAATTTCAATGGAGACGATTTGTTGGCGAGGAAATTTCTCGGAGGTGGAGTTGAAGATACTGAGAAGGTTGAAGTTTCATCTTTCCTAGGTAATGCCATTGTAAAGACAAGATGGAGCAGCAGTTTATCGCAATTTTTAGTATATTTCCAGCATTCTTCCCCTTAACATTGTTTCTGCTTTCCTCACCCTGCTTTGCTGGCCCAGTGATAAAAACTTGTGAGACCCGTGAAATTTTGCAATGGAAAATTCTTATAAAAACAAAGTAAAGGTGATAAACTTCAAATACCATTCTTGCTAAAATTTGATGCATTCTAACAAAACTCCCCGTCCTCTAATAAACACGAACCATTTTTCCTGGGGAACATCAAGAACTGAGAGGATTTCTTGTTCCGAAGCATTCTCATTAACAATCAGATTATCTGAAGTGATAATAGTGCATTGACTCTGATTTCAGGGACAAATTTGAAGAAATAGATAGAAATTTTCTTTCACAAAAGCAATGTCAAGAAAGGGGAGAAAGAAGAAGAAGAAGCAGGGGACGGGGACGGGGACGGAGAAGGGAAAAAAGGGGCCGCAAGCCACTTTCAATTCATCATATTCATCAACTGTTTAAATTAAAATGAAAAATCCAAAAAATAGTAAAAACCTAACATGCTTGGGCTAACCCACTACTACAAGCCCACTAACAAAAAATGTAAATGATAAAGCCCAATAACAATAAAATTAAGTCTCGACTAACAAAGCCCAATAATAATAATAATAAATTCCGATGTCTCGATGATGTCCGCATCAATTCTCTTGGGGTGGGAGAAAACTCGACCCTGTCAAGTGGATAAACTTCTACCACGGGGGACGATATTTCATAAGAACCAAATATCGAAACTTCAGCAGTGTCCAAATTTGTTGGAGTTACTCCATAGGACTCCATGTACAGTCTGCATCAGGTGGAACTACCCAACGAACTAGGAAGCACCAAATCTCTCCATCATTGGTCAACACAATCCGCTTATCTAAAATAACATCAATTGTATCTTTGTGTACTGTGACAAATGGTATGGAAGTAAAAATATCAACAAAGACAGGTTGGGAGTCCACAAAGCTAAATAGAGAAGGATCATCAAAGGAATTGAAACGGTATTTGTAAGTAATGAAGTCCTCAGTAGTTAAAGTAGGGTGGTAGCCAAATTATGATAAAAGATCGATGATATGTGCATTTGGACCAACATGCCTTACAATTTTAAGAGGACCAGCACTACGAGCTTGCAACAGAACATAATCCCCAACATACCAAATTTGATGCTGGACGGGAAATAATTATTACCGTAGGAAGAAGAAAAGAAGCAGAGGCAGAAGAAGAAGAAGAAGGAAAAAGAAGAAGCCGTGAAGAAGAGGGGACGGGGAGGAAGAGGGGAGAAACGGCTGCAAGTCAATCTTTAATTCATCATATTCATCAATTGTCTCAATTTCAATGAAAAATCCAATAAACAGTACAAAAACCTAACGGGCTTGGGTTAACCCAACAAGCTCATTAACAGAAAATGTAAATGATAAAGTCCAATAACCATAAAATTAAATCTCGATTGACAAAGCCCAATAACAATAATAATAAAAATAAAAATAAATTCCGATGTCTCAATGATGTCCGCATCAACTCTCCCGGGGTAGGAGAAAACTCGACCATGTCGAGTGGATAAACTTCTACCACGGGGGATGATCTTTCATAAGAACCAAATATCGAAACTCCAGCAGTGTAATCCAGAGTTGTTGGACTTTCTCCATAGGACTCCATGTACGGTCTGCATCGGGTGGAACTACCCAACGAATAAGGAAGCATCAAATATCTCCATCATTGGTCAACACAATCTGTTTATCTAAAATAACATCAATTGTATTTTTGTGTGCTGTGACAAATGGTATGGAAGTAGAAATATCAACATAGACAGGTTGGGAGTCCACAAAGCTAAATAGAAAATGATCATCAAATAAGTAGAGTGGTAGCCAAAATATGAGAAAAATCAATGACATGTGCATTTGGACCAACATGCTTCAAAATTTTAAAAATACCAGCACTATGAGCTTGCAATATAACATAATCTCCAACATTAAATTCAAAAAGTCGTTTATTCAAATCATCTTGAAGTTGATATGATGCATTACTTGTTTCAAGTCGTTTATTGATCTCAATATGCAAATCATGAAGATTATGTACAAATGCCTTAGTTGACATTGACACACTAGCATGTGGGGACATGGGAATAAGATCTAAAGGCTTCATAGGCTCATAATCATGAGTAAATTCAAAGGGACTCATACTTATTGACCGATTCACAAAATTTGTATATATAATTTGAACTGTGGGGACGATCAAATCCCAATTCCAAAGATTTTCGTTGAGAATGGCATGATTACGCAAAATAATAGCACATTTGGGTTGGATAAGTGTACGACATGAAACACTTGACTAAGAGGTATCGGGAACAAGGGGTACAATACCTAGATTCATAGGAAAAAGTCCGATTACTACCTAAGGTGGTGTTCGCACTATCATCAAAGTCATCAGATTCTTCAAGTTTAGGTATATAGACTTGATCGTCTAACCGCTCATCTATTATATTTTTTTGTTCTTCAATGACTAAGGTTCAACTAGGACATTTGGAAGAGATGTAGCCAGAGTCCTTAGAGTTGAAGCACTGCAAGTGAGAAGAAGTCCTTGAAATTTCAGAAATTGTACCCTTATTTTTTAACACAAGAGGAACATTTGACGAGGAAGGTCTCCTAATAGACTTAAGAGGAAGTGGCATTGAGGATATTGGTGTATAGTTGTCACCACGCGTTTTATATGGAGTACCAATAATCAACTCAAAATCTCGGGCTAAAGAGTAAGCCTGATCAAGAGTAGTGACCCCTAAAGAAAAGCTCACGCCTAAGATCATCTCGTAAACTTTGACTAAACCTACTCAAAGTCAAAGCCTCATCCTCAATTACATGACATTCCATTCGAAATTCCTCAAATTGATCAATATACTCAGTCGCTAATCGATTCCCTTGTTTAAGAGTAGTCTATTGAGTTAAAACCTCGAAATCCAAGCAACCATCGAAAGTAGGAGCATCTACTTTATTGTTTTTAAAGAAACGCTCCTTATGATGTGGAAAAGAATGAGTATTGTGTCATAACCTCGTTCTTGCTTACGAACCCAATCCCCATTCTTATGATCATGTCGCAAATACTTTTGATTACTTTGTCGACAACGATAGTCTATTGTAGGACACTTTAGAATTATCAACATTAGTCGAATGAGGGATGTGCTTAAGAGTGGACAGCCTAGCAGCTAAATCTCTCCTCTCTTCACGAGTAGCAGCCATCTCAGTTTGGACAGCTGCTAATTGAGTTTGGAACTATTGTTGGTTAGTGGCAAGTTTTGCTAAATGTCTGTGAGGGCATCAAATTGGGATGAGTCCATGGTCAGGTTATGGGAACGGGATCTGACAAGGCAACCACTACGCAACTGCATGCAATGTACTACCAGTTAAATGAAGTGTATGGAGAGATCAATGAACAAGAAGTGCAAGCAACGAAAAATAATGACTTGAGCATTTTTTTTTTAAACTTTGGAATCATGTAAATCCAAATATGACAAGCTAGTATTGCTGATACATGTAAAATCGCAAAGCAGGGGTCAAATACTAGTCAAAAATCGGATCACATAAAAAAAGGGGTAAAATGGGAATTGAACAAGTCAAGTGATTCGATCGCGTGAACCTTAGGTAAAATTATGGGAATTTAACAAGTCAAGAGGTTCGGTCACTTGAACTTTAGGTAAAATTAGAATAACAGCAGCACAAAGAAAGTAATCGATGGGATTTTAAAATAAACAGTAATATAAACCAATGATAAATAAAATAGAAACTTCCCTTTGTTTGTTGAAGTAGCCGAGTCAATC